TTGTCATGACCTCCATGAACGGCAACGGCCGTACCCCAATGTAATCAACCGCGATAAGCGATCCAACATGGGTAATGCCTGAACAAAAATAATCCAGCGCGATGGCGGGATAAAAGCCAGTGGGAAAAGAACTAACGTGGGAGGGGAAAAGGCGGAACGCGAACGAGGCAAGGTGAGGGGAGTAAAAGAAACCGCTAAGCAGAAAGAAGAAAGCACAGGGACCACATACCGTTGTTGGTATTCAAAGCAGCGGGATTAATAGTTCCCGAACCATCGACCAGGTCGCCTCCGATCCCATTCATGGGAGCGGAAACGGAGGAATGAGAGGTGCCATACATGGCGGGCCAAGGAGGACGGAACGAGGTTGAAGAGCCGTCGCAAGGCCGCAAGGCGCGTCAAGGGGAACGCGAAAGGTGTCAACACCAAAACGGGTGAGATGACGACTGGGTGGGCTGCTGCAGCGAGACAAGACAGCAGAGGAGCTGTGACGATGCAAGTGATCCTCGGAACAATGAACGCAGACCACGATCTCGCATGCAGTGGGTGGTTGGACTGGAAGGTGGCAGGAAGCGGATCAGCGGGAAGGTTCAGAGCAAATCAGTACCGCGCGAGCTTTGACAGAACTAGCAATGGGTTGATAGGGCGGTGAGACACGCCGAGGAAACAATAGAGGCGAGGGCAGATGACAAGTGATGTGTGGCTTGACGGGTGGAGGTGACCAGGGACCCGGGGGGGGGGGGGAGGCACCGCCACACCTTGCGGCTGTGACGTGTGTTTTTCTATTTGGAGGGGTGTGGGTGGGAAAGGCAATGGAGAGAGAGGGGCGAACCGGACGGGGGTTCCCTTTCCCAAGGTTCCTTTCCTGCAGAAAGCACCGTCACCCCGTTTGAAGAGCAGTTGGCTTCAGGAGGGGTTCAGCAGAGAACACTTGACGATGATTCACGCGCTGAGGGAACCGATCAGTGGGTACACCAGACTGGGGTTATGTGTGACCAACGGGGCTGGTGTCTGTGTGTCGGTTGCAGGCAGCAGAACCGATGGGTTTATTGGGGTTAGAGTGAAAGGGGAGACAAACCAGGACCAGCAGTTGGGTGGAGACCAAAGTTGGAGTTGGGACTGGGAAAGGAAAGGGGGCCACCCCAGGAAATGAAAAGAAAAATAAAATTAAAACCACAGCAGATGATGAAAGAGGGAGGGAAAAAAGAAAAGGGTAAGGTTAGTTGAGAGAGTCGAAGGAGGGGGTCGGGACACGAAGGGTAGTTGAACGATAGGATCACAGCTCAAGGCGGGAGGCGGCGCCACACCCTCCCTGATTGGCCGTGCACCACTTGGGTCACGATTCACCGCGGGCGCATTGACGACGATCGTTTCGCTTCAAGTCAAACAAACTACTACCCTCCACCCCGTCGAATCCTACCCTAAGCTTCTCGTCGTGCTCTGACGGTTGAAAATCAACCCACAACAACAACGGCCAGCAAGGATGCGGTCGACAAGATCAATAAAATCCCAAGGAAACGACTCGAGGTTTGAGGTCCGACAAGAATAGAAATGCGACCCCGATAGAACACGTATGACGCGCCCCCTCTAGCTCAGAAGGGAAACGAGAAAGACGAGAGGAGCGGACTTACTTCCCAATCACTTCCTCAGTCGTTACCTAATCTAATCTAGTATTCGTCCTCGAGGATTTATTCTTCCACTGGATGATACTGGACAAGCAGCATGTGGCCGATCGGGTAGCGCGGACGTACGGACGGACGACTAATTTAGTGCGGATTGGATGAGCACCGCTTGTCATGAAATCTAATCCCTGCACGATCGCTCGGTTCCGACTTATTCACGGCAAAATGCAGTCGCAGTCGGTTCCGGAGGAAATTGTCAAAGTAGTTGTCGTATTTCCAATCTCCTACCCCAGACAGAACTCAGCCGGTTCGGATGACTATAAAGAAGGGGGATGGCAGACTATCGGCATTGAAGTAGATCGATCGACAGTGCAATGGATGAAAGGGGTCTGATATCGATAGGGAATCAAGAGACTTTCGGCGATGATAACAATCCCCGGACGAAGAATGGGATGCGATTGCGTGGATCAACCTTAGGTAGCAATGAATCAATCCATGCGTCCAGCTATTCGTGGATAAATGAATAGGACCAGTAGAAACACAATTACAATGGGATTTGGAATTGCAAAAAGAGGGTTCCAATGAAAGTCAAAAACAGAAAAACAAAAGGTAATCCATACTTTTGTCAGTAAAATGGAAATATATCGCAGAACCACCGCGGGGCAATCCTTGGGTTTGGTCCTCGGACAGAGCCGCTTCTCCCCCCGGAACGAATGGAGCTGACCAGCTGTGATATCACTTTCCCCAGAAGTGATTTCGGGAGAGAGGTCGCTCTAGGAAACTTGGGATTATTCTTTTAATTTTCCTTTTCTTTTTCTTTTTTTTTTTTTTTTTCTCCCTCCTTTTTTCTTCTTCGTCTGTCCCTCTTTTGACCGTTGGCCCTCAAGGAGCTAGGAGTGCACGGAGCAAGTCAAGCAGGAGGGGAAAGGTGGATTTCTGAAGCGACGGTTGTGGCTTGTACTCGATGGAATGATAGTGCAAGAATCGTGTCGCAGTCAAACAAGGCAGATAGCGTGGAGGACAAGTGCAGAAGCCAATGAAACTGAGCTTAGTCCTTGCTAATAAGAGCTGCTGACGATGACAGCGATTGAACCATCGGCTTGATTAGTTGCAGACTAGTCCCTGGAATGAATGGCTGGCTTGGTGGATGCCTCCCGATGTAGGACGAGGTCAGCCCACCCGCCAAATACTAGTCATTGGTCAGTGATACTTTCTCTTTTAGTGTATCTACTTTAGACTCACTGGTACTCGGAGTGATAGGTGACGGGAGATCCTCAATATCCTGTCAAGGACCCCTACGTGGAGTCCAATTTATAGTAGTTTCGACAAAATCTTGGCCTGACTACTTAACCAGACAAGACTGAGAGTGAGAGCACGGAGCACTAAGTAATACCAAGATAGCGAAACTGTAAACGATACTAAGGAAAAGGCTGAATGATGTGATATGATATGATGATAAATAGATGGAGATGCTCGGTCCAGCAATCACCATCTAATTCTGTCCCTCTTTTTGGTTATTCGGGCTCTTTCCCTCTTGCCATTCACTGAGTCAGGATTTCTAGCGCAAAAATAATAATTGACATGAAGAGATCATCGGTTCTACCAAATCTGCGCGGAATGGAGGATCCGTGACTGATCGACTTTGTTTTCCTGATTTTCAATGGCATCTCACGCCTTTCCACTTCAGGACCAATCACAAGACACGCGCTTCTCCTCGCTTCTGATTGATGATCGACCGTTTCGTACGGTATTGTCATCCTCACCACTGGATTTCGGAGGCCATTTTGGTATTCATGGTCATAGTAACACCGCTACAAAGGGAAAAGAAGAATAAATCAGAATAAGAATAATAAGCGCAGTAACGGCAACCAGGATAACAGTCAGAAGCCGACGTGGCCCTATCAGTAGTGGAACAACCGTTAGCCTGTCTCTACCTTTGCTGGCTAGGAATGGTCGATCTCCAAAGACGTGGAAGAGTCCGTTCTGCTACCGTGTCGATCCCGTCCTTAGTCGCCGGCGGAGACACTCTCACACCCAGCTGAGAAAAGTTGAACACTATCAAGGGGTCATCGGGGTGTGATAAGTTTATTTATTTAGAATTAGGCTTGTACGACCGGACAAAGCTTCCTCGGTCGATATCGATGTCATATCTGTAAACCAAATGGCCGAGAGATACAAGAGTTCCAGGGCATACTCTTCAGCGGAATTCCCAAGTAACTTCCTGATTAGGGTTGACCCCGAAGAAGCCCCCATGAGCCAACGATCGACGGGATTTGACATGGCCAATTCTCCGTATGAATAAACTCAACGGAGGTATGCCACATCCAAGCAATAATAACAATGTAGAATAGAGTTAACGAGTAGTATCGTCATGCAAGACAGGCGGATGGAGTGTGAGACAAAAGATCAGAGACAATCGGAACCCCTCCCGAAGGGGTCAACTATCCGCCATCACAACCGTTACATTTGGTACCCAGATACACTCCAACGTGAAATACTTGGATCGACCAGAGAAGTCTCTCCCGGCCGACCAGCTCCAGACGATGCCAGGGAGATCTTCGAATCCTATAGGCTACTCCGAGCACCAAACCCACAGAGTCCAGGCATTCCAACGGGCAGATGACCAGCGCCGACGACGGATTGACTTTGCACCGGAAGGTCACTTGAGCGGGAACTACAGTAGGCGTTGATCACTGGGGACCGTGCGTGGTTGATATTCACACACTCCCAGTAACTTACAGTACATCACTGGTAAGAAGGATACTCTCCCAAAAGGGTGCATGTCCTGAGATAGACACATGGCGCCATGGCGACCATCATTGATCCTACGCCGCCCCCCACTTCAACCTCAAGATCAACGGTAGCACATTACCAGTATGTAGTAACTATGCACAGCGTCCCATCTCCGCCGTTTAGTCCTACTCGCCAGTAAATCTTAAACATCAACGGTTTCCATGGATTGAGGCCACTTCCAGACGTCGCATATCGTGTGGTTGCACAGTCCTCAGACGTCCTTTGACTATCGGGGCTGTGTTAGGCGCTTCTTCGTTCCCACTGCCGCAGATTTTCTCTTTCATCCAATCGACATGACACGATTCAAGCTTTCCCAACCAGGTGCAGCGTAACCTATCCATGTCCTGCGGGAGATAATGAACGGACGATAGCCGGGAAGGCCCGGGATGAACGTGGAATCATTGGAGGTGATTCATGATGCCAAGCAACTAACTAGTCACAGACAGGGAAATGGTATGCAGGTCATCACCAGAGCAGTTCCACATCAGGTGCAGACCAGACCAGACCGCGGATTCGGAGAAACACTAGGTCTAGTCCAGCCGATGGCCTGTACTTTGCAGGGGTTGGACTGGGGAGCTCATAGCCGTCTCAACTGGACTGCAGAACCTGTCCGACATGCCCGTGAACAGGTGGTGGTATTGGCGTTAACCGTCGGACAGAGTCATGGATACTTCATTGCTGATGGAATTATGCCTTGGGTGTGTCTGCATCTATACACTGCCGGGATGTTATGCCCGCCCGTCATCGGTGCAAGTATCGTGGCTCTTACACGGGTGCAGCTTTATGCACGTCGCTGCACGCCGCAACTGATACTGTGAATGTATACCCACAGACCAGCTAAACGTGCGCATCGGGTGACCCGCCCGGTATGTATCCCATTTGTGATCAATCCGGTTGGGCAACAGTGGTTCAACGTTTCAAAACTCGAACATCTCTCTGCGTCCCATGTAATTACCCGAGACAACGCAGCCCAGAATCTTGTATTTGACTCATGTGCAACTATATGGAGGCGACTGCAGCATTGCCGAGACTGGTGGAACGTACGTTGCGTTCTCGAAACTTACTGGGATCAAGATGCAGGACAGGCTGTCCCTCGAAGCCCCTTTGCTCTCTCATCGGAATGACCATGGAGGCCGCGTCCTCGATTCGAGCGCAGCGTGAAACGATTCGAACGTTCTTGTTTGTCTGGAGATGTACAGTTCATTCCCGGGTGCAGGGTCCCAGTACGCGCGAAGTCTTTTCCCGGACAATGTGCTAGATGGAGGGAAGTCCGGGGTGGGCGATGGCTGGTGGGTATTGACTTTGGGAGGCGGAAGTTCACGTACAATGTCTTCCTCAGTGCTCTGATCAGTAATGTCTGGCGCTTGGCCACAAGACACCATGTCGTTCTCCTCGAGCTTTGCGTCTCCTCCGACAACCATCTCATCCAGATCGATAGCGCGAGTGATCTCATCACTAAATTCTATATCGGCTTCCTCGAGCCTTTCGCTGTTCCCGGCGTCTTCTTCATCTGGGGAAATGTCGTGAATAATCTCATCACTCGGCATCATATCACGTCTATCCAGTAGTGCTTCCTCATTTCCCTCAGACGGGCCCTCTTTGACAACGTCTTCTCCATCCCGACCGGCCTCGCCAGGTATCTCGTTCAAGAACACTACGTCACGGCTCTCACATTTTTTGACATTGCTGTCGTCTTCCTCCCAATTGATATCGTGAATGACGGTGTCATCGCTACTGATATCAACATCGCTCAACTCGACTGCTGTTCGTTCATCCTCTTCTTCCACGTCTGTACAAACACTTTCATCGACATATCTGGGCGCATCACATAGTGTTCGCCGCGTTGCGAGACGAAGATAATATGGAACGAGAAGCACGATGAAGCAAGGAGAAAACGCGGTAGTCAGGGCAGCCAACGGTGGGCCAGCTTGGACCAGAAACGAAGGGGGCTTTCTAGTGATGGTGAAAAATACTACTGCGACCGTGATCCGCACAGCCGTGTAGAACTGTACGAGAACATCTGACGGTAAGGAGGATGTACGAAGGTCCATAGCCCCGAGTTGATTGACATGGGATGCCTCGCTGATTGTAAAACAGCGATTGACTGGGTGACTTTGAATGTTGCACGTACATCTCAACCTCCAATAGTAACCGTACATCCCAAATATGATGATTCAGGAAAACTTTATCGGGATTGGATGATCTCAGCCTGACCCGGCCAATGTTAGCGTTGCGTTCATGACAACGACGACTGGACCCTCAGTCCCACTGCAAATCTAGACTTCGGCCTGAACACCGTCCACCGAAGAGCATTGAAGTGTATCCAGAACTGACAATGGATGTACAGTGGTGAGGTACTGATGCCAAGGCTACTTTCATTGTGACCTCATTCTACACGTCCATTGTGATCCAGTCCTGTGCCGGAGACGAGGGTCTTTTACTGCTGGAGATGTTGACCTCCGATTCCATCGAAAAGAAACCGGGTTCGCTAGCGATAACCTCGGAGCATCCGTTCCCTCTTTATCCCTCGCTTTGTAGCTTCCAATTATGGTATCGTATCGCCTGCCCTCCTGCCCTCCTGCTCTCTTCTATGATATCAAGATCGCCGTATAGCGGGTCCCTTTGTCCCAGCCAGTTCCCCGGACGTCCCAGCCCTTTGTCCACGCTGAGACGGAGTTACCTTTTTCGAACCTAGCGTCTTTCGAAATCTAAAATGTAGATTATGACTTCAACTGGGGGGGCAGTGACGATTTGTGGCAATGGAGCTGTCATATAAACCTTATATACGGTTCTATGATGGGTCATGAAGTCATACACATTGGTATTGTCAGAGTCAATTGTATGATGGGGCGAGTATTACATCATCACAGCCCATTCCAAGGCAGATTCCCCATTCAACGAAAACAGAAAGGAAAAGTGGACTGACTACTGTATGCTTGATAACGCACCCCACGGAGTAGTATGGATCCTGTAGTAGTAGATACACCATCTCTTCGACTTAAGATAACTGTATCTTTATTCGATAAAAAAGGCGTCAAATCAGACCGATGCCTCAGGTCGCACTACATCCGGACTCAGTGAATTTTCCTCCAATGGTTTCTCACCGAAGGGCAACTCCACACGAGTCTCGGCCTTAGTCAGAGATTAAGAGTCTTAGTTAGGTTTGCTAGCGTAACCCTTATCAGGGTTAGACTATTACCATTTCCGCCTAGCGCTACTCTGTATAGCAACGAGGCTAACCTCGAAAGTTTGACCCCGCAAAAAGCGGCCAATGGGCACACGTGAGCATCCCTGACTCAAATCGTTCGATTCTTCTTCGATTGAGTCCCTGCTGATTCTGGGTGTAGTATCATTCCACCTGCATTGGGATCTTCCGATGGCTCCCCTTCATTTTCCTGAAAACACAAAGTGATGCGATTTTGAGGTGGTAATGTGGTTTAGCCAAAAATGCATGACTCGGTTGAGAAGGTTAAGACCGAGACTGAAAACGCACAGTCATGATTATCAACGACCAAAAAAAAAAGGGAGAAAAAAAGTACCAAATGATTATCAATAATCATTGACGAGTAGACTAAACTGCCCCCCGGCGTGGAAGATTCCATGGTGCCGACGAAGCCGGACCCACCCCTTGGTCAGCTGGTTCACTTGGTTTTTGTAGTGGAGTCGCCCAGTAGTGCGCAGTACGCAACCCTTTTTCCTCCTGGCAGAACCTGCGCTGGTCTCGGTCAGCAATTCGCCTCACCACCGAAACCATGATGGGGTAGGCTACGATGGACGTAGAAGGCCCTGGCAAAAAGGGACTAAATCCTCGAACACTTCCATGCATTATGAACCAGGTTTAGTTGGTGGTCGATGGCCAGGGGGGATTGGTGAGGGAAAGAGCCCCGAAGCAGTCTCCCGGTGGACGACTTACTACTAGTAGTTGGGTCAGTGAGTCTAGGCCTCGCTGGATCGTCCGCTTGCAGAATCTGCCAGATCAGATGGTCATCAGGTCGGGTTTCTGTTTTGGGGTCTCCCGTACTACGCAACCCTAGTTTTCTTGGGTCTGGATTCTGGAATGCCTTGGCCTTTCTCTCTCTAGTGATTCCCCTCTCCCCTTGGCCTCTCTTAAGACTTTCCTCCCCCCCATTCCTTTTTCCTTTCTTCTCTTTTACCCTCTCCCCCAGATTTTCACTCGCATTGTGCTCCAATTTAGCGTACTTAATATTTCTCGCAATCTATCGCATTGACTATCACCGCGCAAGCAATTTCACTCCATTCAACTCATCGCTTAATCCATCCGACGAGAAAGCACAAGAAGAGAAGAAAAAAAAAAATACAACCGAGCAACCGCCGACCATGGCTGTAGCTACCATCGATATTATGCCGAAACAGGCGTCCTCCTCTCCTCTCTCCTCCAACAACCCTTCCATGAACAAGCGCTGGCCCCCTCTTGCCGACAAGACCTCCCTGCCTTACAAGCTCACCACCCTGTCGCGCCAGAAGCTCGCCCGTGAGGCCACTGCCCCGGACCCAGATATCAGACGGTGTCTCGGTCACTTCCGCCTGCATGTTATCTCTATGGAGTGGGCACAGAAGGACATGACTACTCGAATCAACTCTTTCGAACTGGAGGATGACGAGTCCGAAGAGGAGGAAGAAGACAGCAAGCGCGACGACGCTCAGGACAAGGACTCTTACCAGAGTGACTCCTCCGAGGAAGAGAAGGAAGACTCCGAGACCAAGGCAAAAGAGGGTACTACTACGGACGCCCCTTCGGACAAGGAGCCCGTCCAGGTGACCTTCACCGTCTCCTTCGACCAATCTGCTCCTGCTCCTGCTCCATCCGACGATAAAGAACAAGGTCTCCTAGAGAAAGGCCGCAACTGTCTCGAGAAGACAAAACACCTGTGGCAATCACCTGCGCAGTGCATACCCGTTCGCATTTCCGGGTAACCGGCGAGCCATTACAACTATCCACTACCACTACGCGTCATGGGGACACCACCTACCCCCAGCAGAACATACGCATAATCTCCACTTACGAAGTCACGAAGCAACGAATCTCTTTTTTTTCATTTCCATATACATATTTCAGGCCGGAAGCGCAAGCGCAGCAGGATCGGAGTTACAGGGTGTTCACAAGAACCACATCATCGACAAGCATGTATCTAATAGAAAAAGTCTCTCACATGAACATGTCACCACATGTGCAACTAAATAGCTATATAATAAGCCAATCAAAAATCCAAAAACCATTCAATCAAAACCAACTCATTCACTCATAATCCAAACCCAACCAGTACAAGTCCACCAGTGACTACCTCTAGTTAACTAGTAGTTAACTACCCCAAGTCTTAGTAATGTCCGTATGACTCAAAACCTCAAAAAACCAAAAAAAGAAAAAAGAAACCCACCCCCCACAACCCAATGGATAAAACCAAGACAAATCACACGCGTCGTACCTGAAGTCGCCAACCACATCGATCTGCAGCACCTCGCAACCTGATAGGCGACTCTGCGCCTCTCCCCCACAATCTCCCTGAGCCCACGTTGCGGTCTAAGGAAGACTAATTCCGTTGTCAGTACGTACTAAGCAGAATCCTGGGTCCGGAAAATGTGGGGAATTATCATCAAATTCATTGATTTCCTCCTTGCTTGGCCTGCATGGCTATTTAGCCGGATTCGGAATTGCCGTTTTTTCTTTCTTCCTTTGGGGGGTGGTTTTCTTGGCTGTGGGGGAAGGGAAAGATCGTTGTTACATAGTATTTGTTTCTAGTGGCCGTAGTCACGGGGAGGAGGGAGGAGGAGGAGGATTCCGTCTGTAACTACTAAGTAAGTACCTAAAAGGGATAATTTACGCGCCTGGGTACTTTTAACCGCGACGGCTGTTCTCTTCGACGGTTGAATATCTGATAACCATGTACAAAGTATGAGCCCACTTGGGTATCTTTTCTTCCTTCTCGCTTTCAGACTTACTTTCGTACTATACCTGCTAGTATAATAAGTACTCAACACAATGCCTAAACTCTACTTCCACCAAAGAAAAAAAAAATATAACATTAATAATGAAAAGCGTAGACGAACAAGTCGACCTATGATTCCCAAACTTAGGTAAGATCGTTAGTGAACTAGTCGGACTGGGATTCCATTAGTTTCGTATTGAGTGGTCGCATGACCTCGTTTGTGCCCGTTTAGTGCTGTTTTACACGTATGAAGGGGCTGTCGATCTCTAGGGAGCATGTCCTGTCGTATCATATGAACGATCAATGGATGGACTGGTTGGTTGGTTCTTATGGCTTAGTAGGGGCGTTGGATATGGTTTTGGATTGATTTTACTGAGAGAGGTGGTTGGGTTGGTTGCATGATTTGCATGTGTGTATGTATGTATGTATGTGTGGTTGGATTGTTTATGGTCCGTGGGTTAGTATGTTGGTCTATCCCTGATAGGACACGTAGCGTCTGTCTGTTGACCTGTCTTATGTATGTATTGTTGGACTATCTAATCAAATAACGGCATGATGCTTATTGTTTTAAAACTCATGTGGAATTGTTAGGTCCGCTCGTCTATGCTCATGAGGTATCGAAACTAAAACTGCAGTCATACCCAATCCCACCCTAAACGCCCGCTAAGCACACAAAAGTCCTGCCATGATTGCCTGTTTACAAACCAAGATCGTCATCGTCGTCCCATCCCAAATGCGCATAGATTGATTTCTCGGGTGTCACCGGCACCGCGGTGGTCGTCGGCACAGATAATCGGGCAGAGGAGCCCTTGACTGGTGTTCCGAGCACCTTCGCTGGCGTGTCTGCGGCTACCTCTGCTGGCCCGTCGGTTTGGATAAGTGGTAGTGGTGGGTTCTGTCTCGGCGGAGTTTCCATCACGAGTGAACTGGTCGGTTCGGTGACCATGTCTGGACGAGACTTGGTGCGCCGTGATGGGACGGGTGTTGTCGGCGCCATATCGGTCGACCGGGGCACCGGGCGCCGAGGGACGCGGAAAAGATTTCCGGAGGAAAGGGGTGATTCGGTCACGCCTGCTCCGGGTCCATCGAATGGTCCGAACGGCTGAGTTGGCCGTCGTGTTGGGGTATCCTGGATCGCGTTCGTGTCCCTGGAGCTGGAAGCGATAGAAAATGATTTGGTTCGTGTGGTAGAAGCAGGGACCACAGGGGATCCGTCACCTCCAAAGAATGAGGATGCCTGGGGTTGGGTAGACGAATGCATCGGCATGCCTCGGGGAAGAGGGGGCATGCCAATGATGGCGTTCCTCTTTCGACTGCCCTTAGGTGTAGCGGCGACCTGGACTCCTTCTCCGAATGGGTTGCGGACAGGATTCTTCGGTTTCCTTGCGCTGCCACCTGTGCGTCGCTTCTCAGCATCTTCGGCAATGTCCTTGGCGACAAGCTCTCGGTTCGGTTTTCGAAGGGCATGGATCGCGGCGTCAAGCTCTTTCTTCTGATCCTTGAGCATCTGCATCTTCCTTAGTTTGGTCTCGTGCTGCCGGGCTACAGCGTTCAGGTCGACTTCACGATTGTCAACCCGTTTGGCCTTCTGAATGCCACCTCGTACATTACTGCTCAAGGAAGGCAACAAAGGTTCCATTGACTCCCGTTCGGATTGTGATGGCATGGTATTGAAGCGGCTCAGCGATAGTCGACGTCCTTGAGAAGCGGTTTGCTCATCTGTTAACACGCGTTGCAATGTACGACGAGGGTGCTTTTGCGATGGCTGCCGTTCAACAGCCGCTCCAGGCTCTGCTCGGGGCACATTCTTCGGCGGAGGTTTTTTGGGGAAAGGCGATAGCACGCTGGGGACCCCGAGTTTCCTGGTGATCGATTTGCATTTATCTGGTAGGCGTGAAGCATAAAAGGGTACGATGACCTCGGTGCAGAAGTCTCGAACGGCATCACTTTCGACCTTCTTGCCCCCCGACTCGTTATCGCCATAGACTTTATTTGGATCAGAGACTGCAACATCGTCGAAGCTAACGGCATGCCAAATGCACAGCCGATCGAGGTGCAGTTCAAGCATCACTTGCAAATCTTGTAGTTTCTTAGGTTTTGACACTGTCGTTTTGTCCGACCCGACACCTTCCTCAGTCGACTTTGCTTCATCAGCCATAGCAGCTTCCAACGCCATCGTCTCGAGAATGAGTAGGATCTGAAGCTGGGTTTCTCGTAGTCGGAGATCAGCAACATGCTTCTTCAGCTCCACGTCCCGCGACGTCTCAGTTGATACTCCTTGATCTACAACCGCTCGAGCTTTCCACCATGTCCGAATAAACTGTTCCTCTGTAGGGTAAAGCCCGTTTTTCCCAAGCTTCTTCTTATTCTTTCTCTTCTTCTTCAGCGTCGACTCATCGTCTGAAATACTGAGTGCCACGTCTTTCAGAGTCGAAGGCAGTGTCTCCCGGTACTTGAGATCCATTTTCTTAGCCGTAAGAACAGCCTCTCGATAAAACTCACTGAGCTCTGAGGGCTGAGAAGACCCCAACTCAGACGATTGAAAAGCCGTACGGCAACGCGCAAGCGGGCCTTTAGCAAAGTATGCCACGGAAGTCTTCCACAATTAGCACAAAACCACAACTAGACCCAGACCCAACATACCTTCGAGATATAGAGGGCTTGCAGATACTGCTCCCTCAGATTATCCAGCAGTTCCTGTGGCGATTGAAGAGACTCGGCCCCTATGAACTCTGTTCCGACGCCATCACCACAATGCTCTTGAGGATCCACCGCAGTAGGCATGGTAGCATCAGAGCTCACATCCCTTTCTAAATGTACCTGAGGCACCACAGATTGACCTCGACTCTCACCCGAATCCACCGGCGACACATCCTGGAGGCGCACATCGTGATCCACAACGCCGAAAACAACAGAAATGTCAAACTTGGCCCGCTTGGTAGAAAAATGAGGATCCGTGACGGGATCATCGATTTGCGCCATCAACCACCAGTCACCACCCTCCTCAATGGCAGACAAGCATCGAGGAGCCTGTTCCACCCCCGGCGGATTCCACCCTTTCACAGCAACAACGATGTCCCCTTCTTCAACGCCACGAGCTAGTTTCGAGAGCGCATAGATCCCCTTCTTGACTCGCTCAACGACGTAAAGCCCACCATCAGACGCCAGTCGTACAGCCAGAACGACAGGCTCCGTTCGCAGATTATTCTCTAACACTGGGATATCCGCAATGAATAAACTGCCAGACTGGATCTCGCATAGCGAAGCGGGGGGGAAATCTAGCCATGATAATGGCAATCGACAGCGCGGTACTATGGCAATCGGTTCTAGGACGTATGGCTCATGGGATAAGGATGCGGCATGGGCCTGGGTATTGCGGATAGGTTAGTATCCGACCACACGGTGAGAAGTTGTCGTTGCTCACCCGAATGCTAATGGTCTGTTTGGTCCAGTCATTTTCGAGGTGACATGTTTTTCGCTTTTTGGAGGTCGGGTTGGTGACCTCCTCTTGGAGGGGGTTTACTGAGAAAGGGTCGAGGGCGCTGGAGGAAACACGCGAGGCCATGAACGCGTCTGGTTAAGCATGCATTGTGTGCTTTTATAAAGGAAGAGGGAGGGTGAACAAGGCTCAACTTTACAGAGAGTAATGCCAAGAAGGACTTGGTGTAATTGAGTAATCAAGCGACAATGATAACTATGATATGGACTGATAGGGTCACTAATTCTATATCCCGAAAATGCTGACCCGCGACTTACGCGATTAAATTGGGGCCGTCTTGGCATCACGCGTCACGGTTCAGACAGAGTTCGACAGGCGCACATGGAAATGACTTACAGCGAACTAATCGTTGTAGTTCCAGTTGTACCTTGGAGTTGATGCATTAGTCGTAGAGTCGTAGGCCCCCACATTGTGAAGGTTCACTTAACTGCTTTGAGGAATTTGAGGGCCACAAAGTCAAGGAGTGTGAGGAAAAATGACACCCCATCCATATCTCGGAAAACTACAATGAATGGACGATATGGTATAGTTACGTGGCTTACGACATCGACATGGAAACATAGAGGCCATATAAATGGTTCATTGTTCATTACTCTATAATGCTAATGTTTAGATTAGCACAACTATGACTGGGCAAATGCCGCCGGCCATAGCTAGATCATCTCCTCTCGGACGCTTGTTTGCAGCACAGCTTACGACAAGCGTCCACAAACTTCTGTGCGGACCCATATTTGGATGACGCTGGTGGTCCACAGATGCCGAGCCTGAGGAGGCAGTGTGTTGAAGACTTTCGCTCCCGGAAAACGCCGTAACATCCCTCCCAACAGATGAAAAGTGGTATCATGTTGAATTTATCCCGCCGAACCCGCCTTTTTATAGACGATCATGCAAATATTATAAAGGAAATATGGAACAAAGCTTTTCTGACGTGTCTATGCTCATGCTTTGAGTTGTTGAAACAAAGCAAAATCATCACATTCGTAACGAAACAGGAGAAGGAAGATTATGCAGTCACAGCGACGCGCTTAGAACTTGAGGGTCTTAGGCTTCTCCCAGGAGAACTCCTGGTTAGTGAAGTGACCGTTCTTGGCGGTCTGGAAGTAGATGGGCTTGGCCAGATCAAGCTCCTTGACAATGACACCAGGACGGAGGTCAAAGTTGTTGCGGACAATCTGAACGAGCTCGTCGGAGGACTTCTCGGAAGTACCGTAGGTCTCAACGAAGACGGACAAGGGCTCAGCGACACCAATGGCGTAGGAGAGCTGGACAAGGGCACGACGAGCGAGACCAGCGTTGACCAGGGACTTAGCGACCCAACGGGCAACGTAGGCGGCGGAACGGTCGACCTTGGAGTAATCCTTGCCAGAGAAAGCACCACCACCGTGAGCACCCCAGCCACCGTAGGTGTCGACGATGATCTTACGGCCGGTCAGACCAGCGTCACCCTGGGGACCACCAATGACGAAGCGGCCGGAGGGCTGGAGGTGGTAGACAGTGCGGTCGTCGAGCAGCTCAGCAGGGATGACCTGCTTGATGATCTTCTCCTTGAGAGCAACACGGATCTCCTCAGTGGAGAGATCGTCGCTGTGCTGAGCAGAGATGACAACGGTGTCGACACGCAGGGGCTTGACAGCACCGTTGTCGTGGGCGTACTCAATGGTGACCTGGGTCTTGGTGTCAGGGCGGAGCCAGGGGATGGTGCCATTTTTACGGGCATCAGTCATGGCCTTGTTCAGCTTGTGGGAAAGGATGACAGTCAAGGGGAGGAGCTCAGGGGTCTCGTCGGTGGCATAACCAAACATGATACCCTGGTCACCAGCACCGAGCTTCTCAAGGGCCTCGTCGTAGTGAAGACCCTGGGCGATATCAGGGGACTGCTGCTCAATGGCGACCAAGACGTTGCAGGTCTTGTAGTCGAAACCCTTCTCGGAAGAATCGTAGCCGATATCCTGGATGGCACCACGGATGACCTTCTGGTAGTCAACCTGGGCCTTGGTAGTGATTTCACCGAAGACCATGACCATACCTGGAACAATGTTAGTATTTACGCATTATCTAACATGAAACAATACTATTGTTTTGTGTAAAAGGCATTCAACACATACCAGTCTTGGTGGCGGTCTCACAAGCGACCTATTCATGATAGCCTAATTAGTACGTGCTAAATTTTGGTGCGGAGATACAGCCGGTCCAATCGGGTGGGGACAGGAGAAAAATGCAGAAATCGTCATCATAGAAACAGGGCCGTCATAGCGAGTACAGAGAGTGCGTGGAAAGAATAGTGTGAGGCGAGAGATTGAAGCCAATAGAATTAAAAAAAAAAAAAAAAAAAAAAAGGGAGGGGTTCCGCAAAAAAAAAAGTAATTTCCGCTCCGTACCTTAGAGAGAGGATCCTCAGCAAGGCAGGCATCGAGGATGGCATCAGAGACCTGGTCACTATTTGAATAGTTAGAATAGTATTCGAATTGGATCGATGGGTGCGACCTTGAGGACCATGGTCGCAATGCGAGTGCAAGGGGGGTACGAACGCAATCTTATCGGGATGACCCTCTCCGACGGACTCGGAGGTGAAAAGGAAGGTGCCGGCCTTGGGGAGGTTTGCGACGGAGCCCATTGTGAAGGATGAGGATAGGTAGAGGGGGAAATTAATTGAAGAAAGAGAAATCAGAGGTGACGGAGAATGAGCGTCCAATTCCACAGGGGGGAGAGGGGAGATATATCGGTGAGATTGAGATGAGATCTGAGGGAAAAAGAAGAGGGGGGGCGGGAGGAGGGAAAAGAAATCGAGGGGAATCTGGCCGTATTAATGTGCCGCCGATGGCGCCATCTTGCTCCGGCGGTCACCCTCGGCAGAAAAAGTGCGCATTCTGACATCTGCGCCAATCCGCGAAGCCCGACTGTGAATGTGCAGCATATTCTGACAGATCGCCCCTGTCTTTCTGCGGCTGGCCCTTTTAGTGCGAAGTATACGGTGACGGTGACGGAACCCAGGCTATAACTATCCCTTGGTTACTCCGGTGGTGCCCCATCGCCCCTGATCTTGTTCGTGCATCCATTATTTAGCGTCTTAGCGTCGTATACGGACGCGGTTAATAAACCTCTCTACCCCGCGCGCATCTTACATCAGAAAAATGTCCAAGTTCGGTGTATTGGTAATGGGCCCGGCGGGCGCTGGCAAAACCACCTTTTGCAATGCCGTCATTCAACATCTCCAGCATACGCGCCGAAGTTGTTTCTACGTCAACCTGGACCCGGCCGCGGAAAGCTTCAACTATGAACCTGACTTGGACATCCGCGAACTGATCACTTTGGAAGATGTCATGGAGGAAATGGGCCTGGGGCCCAATGGAGGTCTGATCTATTGCTTTGAGTTCCTCCTGCAAAATTTGGACTTTCTGTCGGAAGCCTTGGATCCGTTGAGCGAAGAATATCTAATTATTTTCGACATGCCGGGCCAGATCGAGCTCTACACACATATCCCCCTCTTGCCGTCACTGGTACAGTTTCTGTCGCGTGCGGGGCCCCTGAACATCAACCTCTGCGCGGCGTATCTCCTCGAAAGTACCTTTGTCGTTGACAAAGCCAAGTTCTTTGCCGGCACCCTAAGTGCCATGTCCGCAATGCTGATGCTCGAGATGCCCCACGTAAATATTTTGACTAAGATGGACCAGGTCCGGGACATGGTGACTCGCAAAGAATTAAAGAGATTCACCAATGTGGACGTACAGTTGCTGCAGGATGACGATGCTGATGCGATGGGAGACCCGTCGTCCAAAGATACATTGCTCAGCGGTGGCTCCTTTAAGCAGCTCAACCGGGCCGTCGGCCAACTCATCGATGACTTCAGTATGGTCTCATTTCTGCAATTAGATGTGCAGGACGAGGACAGTGTCGCCGCTGTTCTGAGCCATATCGACGATGCCACTCAATTCCATGAAGCGCAAGAACCGCGCGAACCCAACGATGAGCAGGAGGTTAATTACGAGGATGCAGACATATGATCGATCAATCAAAAATATGAAGGAATTAATTGTCAAATAGCCTTGTTCGAACATACAGGTGGGACCTACCAGCAGCAACAAGACGGGGCCATTTAATCCCTCCAACTTGTTGTTATGATCCGACCGCCAAGGGGCGCCAGAAGGTCACTGATACGCTTTGATCCCGTGGCAGGGATTTGCCCGCTTAGCCAGATCAGAGCCAATAATGATCATCAGCGCGCTGGCGAGCAAGCAATGCAACACCCAAACATGGTGTGCTTGCTCCGTCATCAAAGGCGCAGAAATGCCACGATATAGAAGCCATGTATCTAAACCGACACACCGTCATGAAAACAAAATAATGTCGAAAATAATGAATAATGTATGCATCATAAATCCAACATCGTAAAAGTGCAAAGACGGAAAAAGCGAAAAAATCAACGCTGTGAACGCGATTATCACCAACTCCCCAAGTTGGCATTTTTCTCCAGCATATACCCAAGAACAGCGCAACAACATCAATCGCACATGATTCGTAAAAGCCAGGCCGAGGCGGCTAAAAGCTCAACCTCTCCCCATAGGGACCTGAAATTCCCGACCAGAAGCATACCCTCCCCAACCTCCAGTAGCCGACGACGATCTCTGACCGCCCTCAAATCCATCCTGGAACTTCTCTGCGAATCCCTTCACGACCCCGTAGAGCCAGCCTAGATCGCGACCGGTCTTCTCTAGCCCAGCAGTATACGCGTACCAGATGGCTCCGAGGATGAATCCCCACCAGATTAATCGCAGCGCCAACGTAATCCAGAACATGACGACACGTCGCGCATAGTCGAGGACCTTGAGAGAGATGATGAGAACGAGAGCGAGGACCAGGACCGATACAAGATCGGGCATTGAAGAGGCGAGCATTGTGGCGAGAGGTTGGACGATGTATGGGTCCAGGTAGGTTGTCTTCAGGTGGGAAATGTAGGGATCCAGGTATGTGGTGCGGGCGTTGTTGACATGAAACACGATCGAGGATGAGGTGAGTTGTTGGATTGTGGGGTTGTCTTGGATTAGGGAGAGAATGGATTCTTGTGCCCGTTGTTAGTTGACAGCTAGGAAGGCGTTTATTGTTATAAGCTTACCCGGGAGGAAATCCATGGCGACGAAGTTGTGCGGTTGTTTGCGTTTGGCTAAGGCAGATACAGTAGAAGCGAGGTAGACAAAAGCTTGAAACAGTCTATGGATCGCACTTTATAAAGGAGCCAAAAAAATCTCCCATCACCGCTATGTGGAGCACTGATACATAGTTGTTGAATGTCTGAGACATGTGCATTCCTTGGAGGACAGATCAAGAAGAGAAAGTGAGCAAACCAAGCAAACACGCGGAAGGGATAAGATCAATTGCATGCATGTATTACTCTTGGTCGCCCTTTCCCCCTCTCTATCTATATGTGTATTAAATTTGATCACATCGTGATCATGATATATACATGTCCACGTCCCGTGTGGATTCAAAATCGACCATATACAAATGTCGTCAATATGCACAGCGCCCAAGTAGTGGTGGTCTTGGGCCAAAGAAAAGCATCACGAACTAGGCGCTACCATGCGCCTCCAAAACAATAATCGCGACTCTGTGTAACACCGGAACACCGACACCAAGCGCCAGGGGCCACAATCGTCAGTATATATACAAGATTAATAACGTAACATAGTCTGGAGGTAGATCAGCCCTGTAGGGCCTTGAAGGCATCCCGCTCAGCCTGAATCTCGGCCTGGAGTTTCCGAGTTTGGCGAAGTGCCTCGTCTCTGTACACACGTTAGAGTCATCACCCAATCAACAAGAAAAACCGACGGTGCTTACCGGTCAGACTGGAGTTCAGCCACTTCGATCTGCGCACGGTTCATGCGGCTAACTACCTCCCCCATCTCCATATCGGCGTCGCGGAGAAGTCTTTCGAGCTCTTTCACCCGCCGCTCCAAGGCCTCCGGCTTTACAGCCTGGTTCAGCGAAATTCCATCGCCACTAGTGGTCTTGTCTAAGCGAGGCGACCGTGCAACGAAGGGCGACGAAGGAGGCATGGGGGACAAGCCGGCGGGGCTACGAGCACCGTTCTTCATCCGCAACAACTGAGCATTATGGCTTTCATTCAGCTGTTGAATCTCGTCTTCGTGCCGAGCCATTTCGTCCTCAGCATGTTGCTGAGCTATCAAAAGGGTGTCTTCCAGCTCCTTGAGACGTGCCTGCATTTCATTGATCCGAACCGCAGAAACCTGTTGCTCTTTTTCACCTTTGCCGATAGCGTCTGCCAAACGGCTGCGCAATGCATTGTTCCTCTCAAGCTGATTCTGCACATGCTGCGAAAGGCTTTCCGTTCGACTGACCGAGGCTGCTAGCTGGCCATGTTCTTCCAGAGGTGACTGAGCGGCGCTTGCTTCAGCTTGCTCCCGCTCAGCCTGGAGCTGCTTATATGCAGATTCTAATGATGAGGAGGTGGCTAGAACCTCAGCAAAGCCCTCTTGGTCAGCTCCTAGGCCCTCCGGAATGGTAATATCGTGTTCTTGCAGTAACACCCGAAGGGACGTTGTCTCCTGCTCAGCACGGTCAAGGTCCATCTTGAGCCCTGCCAATCCCTTTTCGCACTGCCATTTCTGATCCAACGCATCTTCGGCGCGTTGCCGGAGATGATTGACTTCCTCTCTCAGGCTGCGGACTTCTCTCTCGTAACCAATTTTGCGTGGAGATCCTAATTGTTGTGCGTGAGCAACCTCTAGCTCCATGAGTCGGATACGCTTCTCGTATTCCCGAGCTTCGTAAGCTTGACGGTCGAGCAAACGCCGAAGGGCGTGGTGAAGTGCATCGCGCTGTGCTTCAACACTCTCCATGCGATCCGCCATGGATTCCCGGGCGTCACCCCCCTTGGGAGTGCCTGGGCTTGATTGCGACAGAGAGTTGGAACGGGACAGTCCTGTTCGTACGGTAGGTTTCGAATGCATCCGAGCCAATGAGCTGGAGCGCGACAATCCCACTGCAGAGTTTCTCTTGGGAGTTTCACTATCCTCTGATATGGTAGCAAATCGGCCACCTTGCAGTTGTGATAGCGCAGCATTCTCGATCTTCAGGGCTTCAAGCTCTTCCAATAATCGCTGAACCTCTGAGGCATCCGATATAGATGCTGCGCTACTCTTTAATTCGGGAACCATGTGATCACGAAGGTGATCGCGCTCATTTCGAATCTGCTCCAGCTCTACTCGCATGGCTGTGAGCAAGTCTTCAAAATTATCTTTGATCTGCCGCTCTTCCGCCAATTTTCTGCGAGTAGCTTCCAGAGCACCCTCGAGTTCCTTTGTCCGAGAAGACAGATCGGAGAGGTCAACTCTCTCTCGTCGGAGCTAATGAAAGCAGGTCAGTTCCATACCGTATGATACAGAAGCAGAGGTGTATCGACATACCTGATGTACTTGTGATTCCAATATTTGGACATGTGAATCTGCCGCTGCGCGGCGAGCCCGCTCTTCCTGCCATTTCTGCGTTAAATCTACTTTCAACTGAGCCCGTTCCTGCTCCGATGCCCGCCGATATTTTTCAACATCGTCGATCCGCCCATCGTACACAAGGCGAATGGAGCTGGTACCCGAATCAGAAAAATAGTCACTGGTACGTCGGTTTCCATTGTCCAAAGGCAATTCTGATTGAAGTCTTTCAACCAAGTCCTCCAACTCCATCTCCCGCCGTATGGAGCCAGCCAACTCAGAACTGATTTCCCGGAGTTCATTTTCGAGCTCAGCCACATGCGCCGTGGAAGGTCCTGTCTCCAGAATACTTGCACTACTCAAGGACGGATTGCGCGGTGGAAACCCCTTGGAGGCATCGAATGGCACCGTCGTGGACGGCGTCACCGCACTGGGTAGGGAAGGAGGCATTGGGGATGGGAGCGGAGAATTACCAAGATCTGAGATTTCAGTACTCGATGATTCTGCGCCAGGTGACGTCGCAACGGCGCCTCGCCAGCCAAAGAATGAGCTAATTTTGCGGCCGGGAGTTTTTGGAATTTTAGCGTCTACAACGCCGGACGTAGAACGTCCGCTCGAATCGATATGGAGCGGAGGGGGTCGATGAGAAGGATATTGTAAGGGCATTGTCGTAGCCCGTTTCTGCATTATTAAGGGCGACTTGAGTACTGGGATAAACGGTTCGCTAACGAGACGACTATGCACTGGCCCCCCATTCGCGAATTGGGAGCCGTAGTCCGCGTCAACGCCCACGTCGCTGTCCGGCGAATCTATGTATGAGGCGGATGTGTCTATGCGAAGAGGAGGCGCGGGCTGTCTAGCATGGGGAAGTCTGAGGGTAGCCAAGAAAAGAGCGGGATTAGCTGTGACACGTCGGAAGGGGGTATGGGTATAGGACGGTCTCTGCCCAGGTGGGGACCAGGCGAGTGTGTCAGAATGAAGATCAGAACCGGGGAGACGGCGCCGGATAAGAGGGCATAAGAACAAAGAGCGCCACGACTTTCATACCTATCTAGATCCCTGGGCACAAAGAGAGAGGGGTCCTCCGCGGGAACGGAGACGGACGATTGGGACAAAGCGGAGCGAGAATGGTTCTGCACGTCAGAAACGCTCGTGACAGGGAATGGAGGATCTGCAGGCGATACGCCTTCGGGGAAGGAGGCACTGGAAGAGGACTCGGACCGGCGAGGGGTTATTACAGCGGCCGCATTCTGGGGCAGCGGCTTCCTGCGCACGGGGGAGGTGGTCGTAGGAGAAGTGACCGGAAAGGGAGGATGAGGAGGAGCGGTTGTGGAGGATGCGGAGGGAGGAGGACTTGGCCAACCGCCAGTGTCACCAGTCCCTTGATAGTCTGGTTGATGGGAGACGGCGGACGCAACAGTGGCCGACGATAAGGCGCCAGGAGCCGGCGGAGAAGCCCAGTCTGGGGCCATGACAGGCGTATTAACTTTTATGGGAGAGCGCGCAATGGAATTGGCCAAGAAACATGCTATAGTGGAATTCAAATTGTATCAGAAACAGGAAAGGGGAGAGAGAATCAGAATCACCCGTTAGCCAACGGGGGCATAGGATCGACGCACCCTCATGGTGACGATGAGCCTTGACTCCTTGGGGAGCACGGGCAAAACGGGCGATGACACGCGCCGGGTCTTTAGGGGGTAAGACTAAGAGTGGGATTGCCAGTGATAGACCTTAGACTGGCGTCTGTTGATTGATGGACGATTGGGTAAAGGAGTCTAGTTTTTTTGTCCAGGAGTGAAGGTGACCAGGAGCCGGAGACTTGGAAAGACAACCAGACTAAGGGGTGGAAAGGAGAAAAGGATTGGCGGTTCGGGAAGACAGCCTCCAAATAGTGAGCATTACCTGATTCGGAGGGGGGGAAAGGTCAGGTGGGGCGTTTATCAAAAAGCATGTCAGTATTAATTTGGACCATTCCTTAGAAGATTGAACATCTTGGGCGGTTACAAAAAAGACTATCCAACCGTGAAAACAAGTACTTCTATTCTTAGTTTTCCCAATTTTGAAGAAAAAGTCTATATTCAGAAAATTGGGCACATGGTATACTCCAAGTACATACGTACCTGCACGGAGATCGCACCGAGAGTGGCGAACCCAGACCAAGATCTGGAGATAAAAGATCTCTGGAATGGAAGAATTCCAAGCCAGACCAGCGATAGTAAGAAACGAGAGACAGTGGACGGCTCACAAGCGGCCACTAACCCCCCACTAGGGCGGCCGATCGCAAGTGAACCGTGAAGGACGGACCCACTCCTATGCATACTTCTGGACTCAGGGGCAATCCAACTGCTCTTCGGTTGCACTCAGTCCCAAACACAATCCCGCCCAGAACCAGGATCCAGAGAGTAAAAAAAAAAAAGTAAGACATACACCAAGTTACCAAGTTACTCGTAGACGATAATTGAAGAAGCAAAAGAAACCTATTTCAGGACTACTAGTCCCCCCCCCGAAGGAGTCCATAACAATCAACCCGGCCCAACTATCATACGGTGCCAACAATCTCCCTGTAACAATGGTGGGAAACCGATATAACCACGATGGTCTGAGCTCCAAGATAGTCCAACAAGCGCATATCAATACTACCTCACCACCTCCTCTACTAGACACAAGGAAGGCAGTCACTCCGAACCACTGATATGCAACGATCGACTAGCTCGTGCGCCAACATCTATCACTTACAGCGGTTGGTTACACCGTAGAAGGCCAACCGGCGAATCGCCGAATGCCTTCTTACGCCCTGGGGTGTTTGATGCAACTCGGGCCAACTGAAGCTCAAGAGTCAGTGCGGTTTCTCCACCAACTCTTGATTGGATGTTATTCTCCCTCCAACTGCCGTCAGCCCTGAAGTGGTCTAGCACTGGGCACTTAGTAGGTAGGCTCTGTTCGAGTGATCAGCCTCAGGTGTCGATGAGGCAGCGGTCCTAGCTCCGGAGTTCCCTTTCGGTGTACGGAGTACATCTCCGTCGGATATGCGACAATATTGGAGGTTCGCATATTGCTTTAGTTACCTACTGCGCGTCAATAACTCCATCAGGGTGAGAACAGTTTGGAACCAGGATCAAAAGAGACCCTGGCTAAATATAACATGAAACGCCCACTGAAAGACGTTAAGAATGGGGACCTCCCCAATCTAGACCTCGCTGGATGGAGAATAGGCGCGCAATAGTCGGGATCAAAATAGTCACCGCTTCCTTACACGTACCACTTGACAAACATTGCCCTGCTCATTGACACGGAGTAACAAGAATAGTAAACAAAAAGAAAAAGAAAAAAAGAAAAAAAAGAAATAGAAAACAAAAGAACAAACAGAAAAAGAAATCCTTGTTCAACAACTGATAGTTAAGCGCCACGTCCCGAAAATCTATTTTCTGTTTCATTCAATCATATCGCAGAACCTGAAGTTGGGCCCTCCGAAGCGCCCAGAATCCCGCTTGCCCCAAATTTTTTTCTTTCCTTTTTTTTTTTTTTTTTTT